GACGATCAGAGTCTGAGTGATGTTTTATTGACGATCAGAGTCTGAGTGATGTTTTATTTTGAAAAATATAAAAAATTGCGGTATTCTCTCCCAATTACATCAGTCGGTGCTTCTGTGCCTCTTGACACAGGTTAATTCAGTTCAAGACTCATCCTATCTATAACATCCTATCTTTGTGAACCGGGATTTTCTGCAGTTACAGCAACCAAAACAAAACTACGGAGCAAACTGGACATCAGAAGCACACTTCATGTGTCATTGTCCCCGATTACGCCTAGATGGGACCATCTAGTTGTTTTATTTTTATGCTGTTTGTATTTTATTTTATGCCCGTCGTATCATTTTACTTGATCGTATCCTCCCCCCCGCGGCCGGTCCGTGAAAATATTGTCTGACATATGGCGGTCCGTGGTGCAAAAAAGGTTGGGGACCGCTGGTTTAGAGGACCCAAATGCAGAGGCAGAGAGGCTGAGGTGATTTCTTGAAGTTTAATTAGTAAACACAAACAACTGAGGCAAAAATCCAATTCAAAATGTTACACAGACCAGAACCATGGAGACATGTGGGGGAAACAATCACAAGGAGCCAGGGTAAGACGAGGTATGACAACAACAGTGACGAAGAGCCAGCAAAGAGTGACAGCAGAAGGGGAGTATATATAGCTGACTGAACAAAGGCAGGGCTAACGAGCTGATAAGGAGCAGGTGTGAGTGGAGACAAAGAGGAAGCCAAGGGAAAAGGAACACACGCAAGAGGGCAACAGAGAACAACAAAGAAAAAACCTGAAAACTAAAATATATCTAGAAACACAAAGTAGAAAATAAACCAATGAAACGCACGGATAAAAGTTAAACAGAAAGTAAGACACCATAACAGAATCCTGTACAATCTTTTGTACATTATTATGCAACGTCTATGTATCACCTACAATATAGAATTTTTGAAAATACTGTTTAAAAAAAAAAATCTTTGTTTTCGGAGTTGCAAGCTCAACAGATAAAATGCACGTTAAATCAGGTGATTATTTCTAGTATTCCTGTTCATGTCTTTGTGTGTCATTTACAGTTTCTCTGTTATCGCCCTCTTTATTTTTTACTGACTAACTTTCATATGTTCAAAAGGAACAAACACACCTAGGCCTGAAAAACTGTTCACAAATTATAATAATAATTTTTCAAAACAACCTATGACTAGCTCCGAAAATACAGAAAAAAGGTCCCCAGTTTATTATTAAAATTCTAACTTTTGATAAACCCTTATTGAGACTCTAGGCAGCACATTACAATGAGTTGTTATTTTGTTTTTATATCAGCCTATTAAGATTTCTCTCCCTCTCTCTCAGTTATACCCGCCGCTCTAGTCTTGACTCGCTATGTTCTGGTTTTTAATGAAACTCTTGTTTATTTCACACTTCTCATCTTCAATAGAAACAACACAGATTCCAGCCCAAGCCTGTGCACTCCTTTTCTTTAAAGGCTGTGCTCAGTTCTTCTACTTTGACTGCAAATTTAAGCTGCATGAAAAGCTGTTGCTTTATGAGCAACATGTTTTTTATATGGTCTACAAGCAACCATAACTTTTCATTCATTAGACACTAAAAGTCTAAGACATTTGCCAGATACAAGTTGTCCAGAGTGGAATGTTTAGTCACATTCTCATGGAGCGCATGTTATTACTAAAACTTACACCGCTGGACCTTAGCATCTAGGCAGCACAGTATTACCGCTTTAGAGCCCACGCTCCCCATCTGTTCTAAAAATCATCGCTCACTTAGCCAATGTGCAACTCTTTTTGTTTGGCTCGAATCTCCTGTGTCCGTAACATCAGTCATTGAGAAATGTTGTAAGCACAGTCTGCAGTGTACAGTATATTGACTTAATAGAAATGTGTTCATATGTCATATCACCACTACTGAATAGAAGTACAAACCATATATATATTGATATTGATTTGTTATCCAGCCCTATTTAGAACTTTTTTTTAGATCTAGTGTTAATAGCTTTTTTAAATAAAAGCTCTTAAATTACTTGATGAATAAATGAAAATGTATTTTCTGGGTGTTAATAAATATATGGTAAATGGTAAATGGCCTGTACTTACGGTATATAGCACTTTTTCAAGTCAGGAGACTTGACCAAAGCGCTTTACACTACATCCATTCACCCATTCACGCACACACTCACACACTGATGGTGGCAAGCTACATTGTAGCCACAGCTGCCCTGGGGCTCACTGACATATATTACATATAATCTATATTAGACATTTTTAAATTACACAAGACCCTGATTGTTTAAAATCACTTCTACAATGTGTATGTCTGTGTACTGAAGTTCATGAAAAAGAAAGCCATCTAGAGGATTAATTTGCTATACAATTATGTTTGCAACCAAAACAATCGCAATATCGACAGAATAGAAAAGCTACAGATGTGTTCTTTATTTTTTTATTTTCTCTAAATGGCCCTTGGTGGATCATAAGCATCCTCAAATCACTATGGCCTTATTTTGAACGCCACTTTTAGGACTCACTTTACAATAGCATTATAGTGCTGGAGTCAAAGCTAGCCTCAAATTAAAGATGTTCTTTGATTGGTGAAGCTCTGTGAGCTCTAAATAGTGGGTCCTTTCTAAAGTTTTTAGAAAGTGTGTTACCTGCTGTCAAGATGGCTGAAGTCCATTAGGTTGAACTCCCGGTTGTCCTGAGAGTGGTAGATTGTGTCAACATCCTAAAATGACAAAGAGGAGAAACAAAAGGGAAATAGAGTCAAAATTTTAAAGAAATTGAGAGAAATACATATAAATCCAAACAAATTTTAATTAGATTCAATTCAAATGTACCTTATTAATTTCAAAGGGAAATTAAATGTTGCAGTAATTAACATGTTTTTTGTATATTTTTTCATCAAGGTGTTGAAGACTGTAGGCAGGAAGGATCTTGGTCTGTGTTGCACCAGATCTGGAGAAGCCTATTATTGAAGACACTGTTGTCAAAAAATCTCCTGAAGAGGATGCTCACTATTGTCCATAATCTACCTCACTTTATGAAGAATTCTTCTTTGTGAAAAAATCTCCAGTGGATTTCCTAGAACAGAGACGAACTTCTCTATCAGCTTGTCGGGCTTTTTTAGGTCATTTGCTCTGATGTTGTTACCCCAGCAGATGATGGAGGAAGAGATCACACTCACCACTATTGACTTAAAGAAGATATCTTGTTGCTAACACAGAAGGACAAAAGCTTCTTTAAGAGTCTGTTCTATCCTTTCTTACAGATGGCTTCAAAGTTTTGTCTTCAGTCTAGTTTGTTTTCCAGGTGAACTCAGGGTAAAAAAAAAATAAATAAATAAAAAAATTGAACTTTTTTGATCTCACAATGGAGAAATTAACTCTCTGTACTTGCAACCTTTACAGAGCACAAGCGCACTGCTCTAACCACTAGTCCAAGACTCCCCCAAATGTATGTTCCTCCACCACCTCCAATTCTTATGCCATGATGTCAACAGAAGTCAACTTGTTCCTGTTTCTTATGAAATCTACAATCATTTGTTGACATTCAGGATGAGATAAAATACCTCAAAGCGGTTCATTAGCTCTCTGTAATCAGTACTCTGAGTCCTCTGTTCTCTGTATTCTGTTCTCCATCTCTAATGCACCAAATGACTGTACAGTCATCCGAGTATTTCTGCAGTTGACAGGACTCTGTCTGGTACTGGAAGTCAGACGTGTGCGGACTAAAAATGAATGGTGAGAGTACTGTCCCCTGTGGTGCTACTGTGCTGCTTCAGTTCTGCACTGTGGAAATGAAAAAACATAATCCTCACAGCGATGTCTGCCTTGCCTAAATGGCAGTGGGTTTGTTGAAGCAGGTGTATGATGGTATCTTTAACTCCAAGCAATAAGAAAGCAGCAGGGGGGTCCTGATATCTGCTTGTTTGTTTGATCAGGTACAACACCAGAAGTCTCTCTGGGACCTTCATCATGTGGGATGTCAGGGTGACAGGCCTATAGTCACTGAGGACTATAGGCTGAGTCTTCTTTGGTACTGTAACAAGGCAGCAGGTCTTCCACATCACTGGAACTGTCTTCTGGTTCAGACTAAGGTTGAAGAGGTGCTGGAGAATTCCACAGAACTGCTCTGTACAGGCCTTAAGGATTCTGGGGCTGACGCTATCAGGACCTGGTGATTTATTACGATTCAGTCTCTCTAGTTGACAAAAAGGTGAAAGGTGGAGGGAACATCATTTACTGATTTGGTTGACAACAAACTTGTAGAAACAGGAGAGTCAATGGCAGATGAGGGCAGGATGTCCATGTGACTGTGGGCAAGTGAGAGGGATGCTGAGCTTGTTTCTGAATTAAAATTGTTGAAGAATGTATTCAGTTTAATTGCTCTTTCCAGACTTCCATCTGCTTAGCATCCATTTTTGTTAAAGCCTGTGATCCTCCTCATCGCTGACTACACATCTTTGGTACTGTTCTGCTGGAGCTTGTTTTTCAGCCTCTTTCTGTATGCCTCCTTGATTTCTCTTATCTTGACCTTAAGTTTCTTCTGTACACTCCTCATTAATTCCCTGTCTCCCTTCTTAAAGGCTTGTTTTTTCTTTTTAAGCAGTTGCTTCAGATCACTTGTGATCCATGGTTTATCCCACCAAGCAAAAATTGGTTGAAAACACATTTAAAAGACAACATGATTTATGTCCAAATGACGTCTACATTTGGTTGAAAAGTAAAAGGTGATCAGCTGTAATTTTCAAATCTTTTAAAACGCCTTTCAAAGTCTTTTATTGGACTAAAATGGGACAAAATCAGGACGACCAAACACATTCCATTTATCTGTTTTTGGACTAAATCAAGACTATGATAGAGAGACCAGATTTAGCCTAAAAACCAATTCCTAAATGTTTGGGGGGATATTTGGGAAGCATTTCAATGTTCAAGTAGGGATGGTGTTATCTTCATAGGAATTTATTTAGTCAGTTATTGTATTGAAGACCTATCCATCTGACTGACACAGTGCATCTCAATCTGTAGCCTGAAAAAAAAACTTGCAGGGCTTCTTTAGCTTTCTGTGACCATCTTCTTCTGCTTCTTTCTAATGATGGTTTTCCATTACAAAGTCTCTTATACTCTGAGCAGAAAATACAACAAGATGAGGTCTTCCTTCAGAGATGTAGGAGTCAGCTGGCATTAGCTGACAAACTGTTGGAATGTTGGCAGTGTAGCTGAGAGTGAGGTGTGATTAAAATTAGCAGTTACTGCCACAAATGCATTTGGCTGTAATTTGTGGAGCTTAGCAACAACAGAACTGGTTACCTCACATGCAGTGTCGGCAACGGCAGAAGGTAGAATTTAAATGGTTACTAACAAAATACAGGATAACTGTGGGCAAATGATATGGCCGGAAATCAACTGCCAACAGTTTAATGTCTTTTAACATTAGCATGTGCTGGTTGACAACATCTCAATTTCACAAGGACTGCCAACCCACCTTTTTTGTATTTTCCAGTCTTCTTTACATCTCTATCTGCTCGTTATGTCAATTAGCCTAGCAGAGAGACGCTGGAGTCCGAGACATGATCCTACAGCAACGTTTTAGTAAAACACATAATGCTGCATTGCCGATATTCTAGCTGGGTTCTTTCTATGGCTTGGAGTTCTTCTAACTTCCTAAAGATCTCACATTGCCAATGATGAAGAATGAAACAGATGCCTTAAATTTCTTGCAGCCACCTTACGCAGTGCAATTCTAGAAAGTTAAAATATTCAGTTTATCTTCATTGTTCTTTCTAGTCTCTCTGATCTTCCTCCTGACTGCCTAGACCAATTTATGGCAGAACAGACATAGCAACATCATATTCATTAAATCAGGTATTGGTATATATGGCTGGGTGTGTATTTCCTACATTGTGGAGACCATTTGCCACAAATCACTGCACACACTGGGGACCAAGTGTTCTAGTGGGGACCAATGTCTGGTCTGCATGGAAACAAATTTTGTTTTAGGGTTAGGTGTTCGGTTTATGACTAAAGTTTGAATTGAATTTAGGTTAGGATTAGGATTAGGTATTAATCCGCAGTGATCAGGTTTTAGGGTATGGGGTCACGGTTAGGCTGTAGAACTTACCTACAAATGAATGGAAGTCAATGAAAAGTATCCACCGGAATGGTGAAACCAGACACGTGTGTGTATCTGTTTTCCGGAAAATGTAATCAGCACCCCCATCATCAATTGAGCGAAGTAGGGAAGTTGTGAAACATTTCTTGCTCCCACCTTGCTTCTGACATGATCTTTGGTTTAGGAGTAAATTCTCACAAAGAACAAAGGTCTCTGTGTGTGTTGGCTCTTGAAGTCCTGACCCCTGCAGTCAACAATTTGTGAATATCCTGTATTTTGTATTTCTTTTCAATTATTTTCTTCTAGCCTTTCATTAAGATTTTTGGATTCATCGGTCTGTGAAATCGATAGTGTTATGTAATCAGATTTTCTGATAAACAAACGTCACTAACAATGTATGACTTTTTTTTAACAAACCTATGAGTTTTAGTATTTCTCTGATTAAACAATTACTACGATAATTTCACTTTTAAATCAGATTTACTGACATGCACTGGTGTGTATCAGATTAATTTCAATCGTCCAAAGAAATGAATAATAATTGGGACCCAAAGGAAAATTCATATGGTATTCTCACCCATTGCACTTCTTCTTTGCAGCCAATTCCGTTGTAGTCACATAGAGCAGCATATGTCTCAGAAAAACCACCTGAAATGATGAGGAGATACATTCATGTCAGTTTAGAAAAGAAACAACTTGAAGTTAAAGCAAAGCAGCTGAAGCACAATAAAAGGTGTGGAGATATATGAAGAAAAAAAGATGTAGGCCAAGGATGAAAGTGAATGTCAGTATATTTAGGCTCCATTGAGGTGAGATGAAAGCCTAGAAAAATATCTTCAAAGGGCTATTCGTGTAGATTAAGAGGATTACAAGCAAAAAAAAAAAAAAGGCAACAAGAGTAACTTTGGGTCTCTGACCCACTTAGGGACAACTCACGAAAAAATTCCTTTTTTTATACTGTGAGAAAGTGTCACAGTGGAGAAATGGACTCTCAAGTGCTGTCATTATTGATGTCTAACTGTTCGCATATGTGTTAGAGAAGGACAGAAGACTAACCACAGGTTTTAGGAGGCTCTAAAGATGATTCCGAGCTGGGTGAAAACTTATGGCTGCCATCAGGGAGGTCTCCCTCTGCTCGACAAATAGGAGGACTGAAAAAAAGAACAAATTGATCAGCTGAAAGCAAATTAAAAGACAGGTCCTGTTGAGATAAGATGTAACTTGATGTGTAATTCCCACGGTGACAAACCAAACAGGCAGACATTAAGTAGGTGTTTTGATCCTGATCATTTCAACAGCAGAGAAGATCAGTTTTTAATCTTTCTGTTAAAAACTTTAAAAGGTAAAAATTTGACATAAAAGGTTGGTGTGTCCAACCTTTTGACCGGTATAAAGTGTCATTACATGGTTTGGCTTTTGTAAACCTTGAATGTGTTGGATGTTTTATTAAATCACATTTAAACACCAAACAAAGATAAGTCAAATTTCATTTCATAAAGTAAATAAAGCAATCTAATCTGACCTGGCCCCATTTCAAAATATATTTGCTGTGTGAGAATGTAGTCTTCTGTCTTTGTAGAGCTCTTTTTTCTTAATTAAATTGGAAATATTTAAGCAGGAATAACTAATTGAAATTTAAGTTTGTTTTTCATCAAGGCTAGAAAGTTATATTATGTTAGAAAGCTGAATGAATAGCTTTACTGGTATAGGAAGTTGTCCAACTCAGCAATGCTGCCACAGACTATCACCACCAATACAGTAACTTGTTTGGCTGCTGTCTAATGTTCTTTAGGGATGTTTTCTGGCAAATGTGCAATAGACTTTAGTGGCTTTATTTATTTTTTTATTCTTTGAGGGTTACATTGGAATGTTGCTTGGTTTTTTGCTGAATCTTTTATCAAGCTTTTTTGAGTCTTTTATCAACCCATGAACCTTGAAAATGAAGAAAGTAAATTCTCCAGTGCTTTAATTGTTGTTAACCTCCTGGATTTGTTAAAATTATGCTCTTAGAGTGTTATGTTACACCACACCAGAATCTTAAACTTTAGAAATCACTCTATTACAGTTTTCTGACTGACAGATATCACTGTAATGGGATGCTTAGTGTCGGTGCATGAGATGTTGAAAATCTTTTATACTACTTAATGCTTTCATGCAGTTTCAAAATCAGTAAGGAATAATTTAATGTTTATAGCATGGATATTACCAAAGTTAGCTAGCGTTCAAACAAGAGGTTTGATTTTAAATATTGTTGAGTATATAATGCAAAGCGTACAAGTCAAGTGATACAATAACTTAATATGCAAGATGGTTTATGTCTGGCAGAAATCAATGTTGAGGAACATTTATACCCTAGCCCTCAAAGATTTGTCCCATAAATACTTTATTTTACATGTTAGCTAGAAATTCAATCATAAAAATATGTACAAATATAACATCAAATGAGTGAAATCTGTATATTTTTATGCAGAGCCATCCTGGTGATCAGCAAGCAAACATTTTGTGGCTCTATTGCATAAAAAACGTTTTCTTCTCAATAAAGACAAATTGATTCAGAAGAAACAACAAAGATAAACTTTAAATAATATACGGTTGCTGGATCAAATGCTAACAAATTGTAAAAAAAGAAAATGTGTGAAAGCTGAAGAAAACATTGGGGAAAACACACACAATAAAACTAGTGCCACGCTGTTAATGTTAATTAAAACCCAAACTTAGTTTATTAGCCAAAGGGAAATTTGCAGATTTATCTATCATTGATTCAATTAATCTTTGCATTATATAGGGTACAAAAAAAATCATACCCTGAAATACTCGTTGAAGTTCTAAAGACCCTTAGTTTGGGAAGAACCAGCCTTGATTCCATCCCTAATATACAAATATATATGCGTGTTTGTGTAAGTCACGATTAAACCACTGAAACAAGATTCTATGATAATTCATCCAACAGTTCATGAAACATTTATCCAAAAACCTGCAGTGCTGCAAGCACATCATCATCGGGGGACACTGACAGAAATCATGCCCAAAGGGAGTGGGTAATGAAAGGCTCAAGGATTTAGTTGTAGGTTGCTCAAAATGAGCAGAATGTTCTGTAAATGATTCCCTTTCCTTTTAAAGCTGTGCTCAAAGGCTTGGCACCAGGCAGTTCTCCAGCTTCAGTCCAACCCACCGCATTTATTATCGGACTGGCTTCTGCTGTTAGTAATAATAATAATAATAATGTATTTCTCCTTAATGGCTGAGTTATATAAGCACACCAAGAGAGAAATTTAACTAAAATTGGCCTATATATAAACTATACAGCTACTGTAGGCTCCATAATATATTTAATACCATCACACTGTCCTAATTGCCTTGGGAAATTTGCAGCAGGCTTGTTTATTTCATTATGGTTTCTTTTGTCAGAGCTAAGATGTATTACACAGACCTGCAAAGGCAAACTTGTTATGAGATTGCTTTGGTCATATATAGATAAAAAGTAGAAAGCAGAATTCAGTCTACAAAATTTTATGAGGTCTTGCATCATAAACCAAGCAAATAAAACACACATATGCTGTCTTCAAAGGAACGTAACTTTTTTATAGTACAACAAAGTGTGACTGGATTCTGAAGCAAAAAATAACACCCCATTTAGAATTAATACCTTTAACATTTTTTCACATTATGCCAAAACCTTTTGACTACAGTTTTGTATTGGGATGATTGCTTGTTTTTTTCAATAGAGCCACAGAATATGTAAAAAAATTAATGCTTTGAAAATTTAAAATCTAAAAAAAGTGTTTGTACCGTAATTATCCTGCTTTTGTCAAAACTTTATTGTGGAACATTTCTGTGAATTTAAAATGGACATTTGTAAAAATGAGGGGAAAAAACCAAACAATAAAAGATAATGTGTGCTGCTGTTGTTTCAGAGACATTAAAGATAATATTTTTTAAGTCACACAGAGGTCAACTATCCTCCCATTAAGCCCAGAATTGAATCAACATATAGCCTACTTTTTTAACTGCTCGTTGATTTGTGCAGGCAAAACTATCATTTATAGTGATTTGGTTCTTAAGATAGAAATATTTTTTAATTACGGCCATACCAGCAGATGTTAGTCCCGTGCTCATTCCTGATATAAATTTGTTGCATAACATAACATGTCATTCCTGTCCTGGTACTGAATATAACAGTAGCATGTCTAACTTATTTAGTGGCTGAAATTATTGTTTAATATTTAGTAAATCATCAGCCTCCCAGACTTTCCGCTTTGGAACTGTAGTTACCCCTGGCAACCACATGTCATTTCCTATCAAGACTTCGACTCAAACAGACTTTATTAACATTTTGTACACACAGAGGGTATACAAAAAAAAAATCGGTCAAGAAAACCCACAAAAAAATTCAAATTTTAAAACGCAACAAGGAATAAAAAAAAAAAACCGCAAGGAAAAAAAGGAAAAAAAAAAACGGGAAAGCATATACAAATTCCAAAATCCAACACTCTGCGCTTTCTTTTTTTTTAACCCAATTTAAGCAAAAATCAACAAGCCAAAGGCAAGGGGGAAAAAACCGGTCCGGAAACCGCCGGAACCGCAACCGAAGCCTGCAAAGCCCCTTCAACCCCCCGGGAAAGGCAAAGGAAGGGCAACCCGGCAACAATTCAAGAAAAAAACAAAACCGAAAACTAAAAATGGGGAACGCCGCCAAAAAAGTAACCAAGGAAAAACGGTTAAAGGCCCTGGAAAAAACAAAAAAATTTGGAAAAACCCAAAAAACAACTTAAAAAAAAAACAGTCCACTTTGGTTCATCCAGAGGCAGCTCTGATTCATTTGGATTCTGCCAGACTTCCTTTTAGATCTACACCAGCAGAAAGAACTGATGCTGTGCAGTGGCAGACCGGGGTCTGAGATGGAAGTAAGGGATGACGATGAACAATCTCTATAGGACTAAATTAAAACAGCTTTTTTTAAAGCCACCTAAAACTTCTCGAGAGCATTCCGTATTTCTACCTTTGTTAATATAATTTATCTCCGTATTCCATTTTAAGTGAAGAAAGCTTCACCTACAACTAGTCCCTGATTGCTCGCTGTGTAGCGATATTACAGAAAAGTTCAGCTTATTTCAACTTCAGCGATAACCACTCTGCTCTCTCAATACAGTGCTGCTGTTTGACAACACCTTCGCCCTATCTAGTAGAATAAGGGCACCACATGGAATTCACCACTGGCCACTTCACTGCCCTTCCCTGCAGGGTTTGTATAGAAATTCTATTTGAATCCACCACACTCGACGTGGCCACCGTGTCCGGTCTGAACGCACCATTAGTGTTATGTCACACAGCGTTTTGCATGTCTAATTTGAGTTAAATGTCACATTGCATGTAAAGTTTCAACAAAACATGTCAAATCGTATAGTCATACCATCAAAAAAATTTAAAAGAAAATACAACAAAGGGTTAGGAATGTTCTAATTTGTGCATATAATGTTACCTGCTTCATTTTTCCGAGAGGATAACATCGTCATGCCGTTAAGTTCAGCACACACCATGCTTAATCCTGTTTGTCAACAAACCCCACACATCTGACCACATTCGCGACCTTAATCCTTACCTTATCACCACAATCGTCGGGTGGCAGTTATTTTTACACCACCTGCATTTTTTCACTTCAGCACAGCAGAACCAATCGTTTATGATGATTGTGTAATCAAACACACAGTATTATCTCTCCCTCTTTTCCCTCTCCTCAGTACAAGCAAGCATCTGGTAGGAACTGAATGCATGAACAAAAAAAAACATTTTAATCTACTGTATAGAACAGGATAGAGAAGGCCTTAAAGGTCAACAAGCAGAATGGAATCAAAACCTTTGCCTTTCTAAAATATTGGTAAAACTAAGAATTATCTCCATTCTGCCTGCTTGCTCATACATGTCAAAAACTAATTTGTGATTAACTAAAAAGAATCCAACATTTTCTTTAGACCAGGACAGTTAAATAATGGCTTCTTGGCTTTAGAGCGCTGCCTTTAGAGTTTAGGTTTACTGCTATGTCACTGCTGCTGTGTTTTACAACTACTTTATCTGCTGCAAACAATTGCCAACTCAACTGCTGCTGATTTGGAACATGTGTTTGAGACATAAAACTGACAAAAATTACAGCAAAGATAAAAAAGAATATGACTGCTGCAGAAATAAACCAACAATGATAGCAGCTTTCCAAAAGGAAGTCTAGTGTTATTCATCTTAGCAAACATGTCTTGGTTTAGAAGAATGAATGCTTACGCATAAATTGAGTTGTTGAAGACCCGAGAGAGGGCGTAGTTGATGTGGCTGACCATGTGAACCAGTTGGTCCTGGGTCTGAAGCCTCAGAGTGTAGGTGGTCTTGTCTGTATCGATGACCACCTGAACATAGACATGAGATTTGTTCTTCTGCTGTATTGATTTACAATCATTAGGTGGTCTACATATTGATAAATGGTGCTTCTGACCTGGTGGTCTGGGTATGTGTTCATTGCTCTGATTTCCAAAAAGTTGAAGGTGGTCTCCACCTGAAAAAAACAGGAACAAAACATATTTTCAGTTTCCAATCATCGGCAGAACATACAATATAATATAGCTTATGTATATACACAATTTACAACAATTGACACCTTAAGCCTCTTTATTGGTTAAAAAGGTCTGATTCAAAAACAGAGTTATAGAAAACAGATCAAAAATTGTTTGATATCAGTAAGATTAATTCCAATACTAACCCAAAATACCAACTCAGTTTCATTTCAAATGAACTAAGACACTAGTTTGTAGTGTGGGAGGAGAATAGCCTCCATATTTTGATGACATATTTTTGTTATTAAGCTTTTAGGGCAACCAAATAACACCGGCAAGACATTTTAAATTACTTAAATGTCATACTGTTTCTAACCTACTGAAGGCAGCCGTTAGATATTGCTGAATAGTGAAATTACTGTGGAAACCAGAGGCAAAAGACAACCTTATGACAAGTATGCACTTACAGATAGATCCTGAAAAGCCAACTGAATGATGAAAACAATGTCCACTCCATCAATATATAGACTTCATCATTCTCAAATGCCTCAGTAGCTTTATGGCACAGTAAAGGAAGTAAAATAACCTAAGATGTGGAATCTCTTCACAATGCATGAGACATTCCCAAGTTGAGAACTCAAAAGCCCTTTTTAAGAACCAAACAGCAAGATAATCCTTTGAAATTATGAAATATGTCTTCCATTTGCCCACAAACAGGTAAAGGAGGTAACCAATATCAAACAGTAACAGGTCCATCACAGGTTGGGGTGATGGACAGAGGAGTTGATTATGGCAGCACATTAACAGGTTCTCAGCACAAACATCCTCTCTGTCACATCAGATAGGAGTCAAGACACAGGATGTACCAAGGTGTCTGTAAAAAAGTCCATAAAAGGGTCTTCATAAGGTTAGCAGGCCTTTGCCAAATTTGATGACATACTAAAGAGGTAAGTCAATCATTTAAATCAGCTGTATTGGAGCAGGGATGGATCTAAACTCTGCAGGACATTAGGTGTTGAGGACTAAGGTTAGAGACCCCTGGTCTGGAAAATAATAATTAGGTGTAAAATACTGTCAGGCAAACTGTACAGGAAACATTTTAAATAAGTGAGAGGAACAGTGTGCAGGAACATCTGGATGCTTGAAGGTCTCAAGGGGAAATAAAAAAAGGTGTGGAGAGTCGATGCCTTAGTGGTTCCAGTGGTCATTGATTCATTAAGGTTGTGACCCTGAGATTTATGACTTGGTTGCAAGAACAACTTTGGAACTTTCTGCAAAAGAGCAAAGTCTTTGGGGGGTTTGACATTGAATTTCAACTTAAGACGTTGTATAGATATCTATATTTGTAGAACTATTTCAAAGACAAATAGTGTTCAAACCAAGAGTTAAAATTGAAAGTCTACTGATTAAAAGTCAAGCCTGTTTATTTAAGCTGAGGAACTGAGCTTTATGAGTAAATTGGTAAAAAATTAACTGTGAAGTTTCTCTTAATGTCTGTTCCTGGCTTATGCAGTGCGCATCGGGTTTTATTGGGAATAGGATTCATTTCAACAATGCCAGGCTTTTGCATTCAGCATGTTGTCATAAATAAATGATCAAAAATAAGTTTTACTGTCATTATCATTACATAACATCACCACAGTTGTAAACATTGTTTCTGCTTTTCTACTTTGAGAACTGTCTTTTTCCTTTGCATTACCATGGGCTCAAATCTTGAGAGCACAACACATTAAATTCCACTGAGAGTGAGTAATATTTACCTTGGTGGGCACTTTGACAGCGAAGAGATACAGTCTCCATGTTCCCAGGACCTGAGGGTAGAACACATTCATTTTTCTGTCACTGAGCCGGAAATGCAAGATGCAAATCACAGCAAAAAATAGCACGGCACAAAACATTACACAAAGAGAGTAAATCATCTCTGCAGTTCATCCAAATGTCTTGTAAGTCAAACGAAGCACTCTAAACATTAGCCTGCTAATGGCGTCGGGTTAGGCAGAATGTGAAAGAAATATAATGATGAGCCTGAGTCATGTGACAGACTAATTTATTTCAGTAAGTTGTGTTGATGGAACTAAGTAGCTATTATTCAACAGATGTCTCATTGTGCAAGAGAGGAAATCATTGGTTGAACAAGAGGGAGATGGAAGACAAAGAAGAGGACGAGCTAAAAAAGAGGTGCTTTTGTTGGACAAAAAGGGCATTAACATTTTAAAGTGTCTGGGGTAGAACAGGAGAAGCACAACAAGAATATATTAATATTCTGCCCATCCTATTAATCTCATTTATAATTCAGAAATCCACAATTAGCATACCCCATGTGTGCACAGTGCATCTCTGCTCAACTCCAGTCCTCTCTCTGTCTACTGGTCACATTTGCTCTCTACTCTTTTCCAGCCTACTTCATAGTTCTCTTTCTGTCTCAGTTCTAATTCTCTCCACTGTTTTATGTCATTCCTCTGGATTTTCTTCATCCTCTTGGCCCATCCCTAATCCCTCCCATCCTCATGTGCTTCACTGTATGTCCTCTCTGTCTGGTTTGCGCCTACAACACCTCAACGCAACACCCCTTTCTCACTGCTTCCAGACTCCCTCTTCTCCCTTTGCGATTTAGTTCTTTCTATTCTTTTTCTGCTCTGTCGCTTTCAATTCCTCAAGGCCTTTCTGAGCTGAATGGCTAATGGCGCCCTGCAGAGAGTCAGAGAAAGGAAGAAAGAAAATGAAACATACAAAGAAAAAAAAGAAGAGGGGAAGGGTAGATAAAAAAAGCAGATACACTGATCCCCCCCCCCCGATAATAGATTCTTCAGATTTCCCTTAACTATACAACAACCTCTTCGAGAGAATCCGGCCTCACACATCAGCCCTGTTGTTTTAAATATACGGACATGCATAACGGACTCCTACAGAGTTGGAGACAAAACAAAAGAAATAGAATAATCATCTATATCTAAAGAAAATTGAATGGACCTTTTTTGAAGATTTAAAGTCATATAAGATCTTAACGACAGTTATAAATCCAGAGATAAGCACGGCCCTTACAGACTGAGACGGGCTAAGACATAAACAAATAATTATAAAATGAGTAATAAAAGCCTTCAAAAGACCTGCAACTTGACAATGAGCCTCCTGATATAAACAAAGACATCAATAATGCAAGCTCGCCAAATGGCCAGCTGGATTCTCTGATCAAGCTTGTTCGGAGGACTGTCCCCTGTCTCAATAAAGTATCATACATTCTCCATTTAGGGCATCATTAGGGAAAGACGCTCCAAGTAAAACATTTTTTAATGTGCTGCATCAAATTGAAAAAACTGAATGGTGGAAACCGAGTGTGACAAAGAAGGCAAGAAAGGCACACATATCACCTCCTGCATGCTGTAGTTCAGCCAAATGTCAGCTTTCTTTTAACAAAGCAGTACATGTTTACATCAGTCCATCAATTCGCAGTCGCTGTCGAACAATAATGTGAAGGCAACAGATATATATTTACGTATAGCAATATAATATAGTACAATAATACAATATTATGAGCAACATAATAATAAGTTTATTTATACGTAAAACAACAGAAAAATAAAGCAGCCAGAATCTATTTGTTCTACATCTTGTCATCCCATATTATTTGGCAGATGGAACCTGAAGTGCAATGAAAAAATGATGACATGGGTCATCACTGCATTTCACAGGTCACTTTCACACAACATGCTCCCTTGCAAATACACAGGGAAAATATATATGTGGAAATTCAGACTTACTCCTGAAACTAGTTCTTTGTTTCCTGTTAAATAAATAAATGATAACATCAAATAGATTAACTTGACGTATCAGTTAAACTACAGTTTTAGAGCTCTAATTTGTAATGGATTTACAAAAATGTATGGAATTATAATGTTAGCTATTAACAGCTTTTAAATTTCCAAAGTCACACAGACATTCTCACGCCAAGCATGCTCCACAGAAGAGATCGAAAAAATGTCTTTGCTGTACTCTAACTCTACTCAGCTTTCTTGTTATCTGCACAAAGTCTTGTCACTATTATAAATTAAGTGCAAACATGTGTCAACATGTAAAGCAAGCGAAAGGCTATGCATGCTGCAGAAAAGAGGCATCAGGATGATTTATAAGGCTGGCTATAAAGACCACACAAATCCAATGTTCAATCAAAACTGTTCTGCTACTGTTTAATTTCTCTGATCTGGTAAGATCACCTATCAGTTGAGAGAGAGAGACAAAGAGAGATTGTAAATCAGGCCTATTCTACATCAAAATCATATATGTGGAAAAAAAAATGTAAAGAATGTGCACTTCAGTAAGTGGAGTGAAAGCATGGAGCTCTGTGTTGAATTAAAGCAATGTCTAAATATTAGAGTATTTAAGAAAATCCCCAAACTGGTTTTCTTGTACTAAAAGTAAAAAAATGCACATGCAATTAACCACCCCTTATAATAAATTGTTGGAAAATCAGAGCTTCTGTCACTGCACATCAGTGTATGCTAGCTCTGACACAATTCAGAATTTATTCACAATTTAATTGTGGTTAATCGATTATTGAAATAATTGTCAACTCATTTAGTAACCTATTAATAATTTACTGGAGTATAGAAGCTCTATAACAAGCTGACAGAATAACCCACTTAGAGCAGTAATTATGTCAAAATAGTAAAAATATATAAACATTTTGATTTTAAGGTTTAAAAAAAAAAAATTCTTCTGTCAATATGCTCTATCAAGAACTACTCAAGTGGAAAAGTTTCAGTTTCACCTGGTTTTATTTTTATAAAAAGTCTTCTTTAAGGAACCTTTTGCTATCAAATTATTATTTAATTAATCAAAAAATAATCAATAGATTAATCGATTTGCAAAATAATCATTAGTTGCAGCTCTAGTGTATACATATTCATACAATGAAAAGACAGATGCATAGAAAATCCCTTTACTAAGCCACAATGGGGAAATTGTGGTGTAATATAATGAATGTAGCTGTATGTGCTATGGGTAAAAACTCTATGAATCAAGATGTGTGTAGTAGAGTGATGAGCTCTCAAAAACCAAATGTGGGAAGACTAGTATGGTTACGACGGACAATGTGTTACAGACTCAGCTTTTTTTTAGCTCTGTCTTTCTTTGTAACTCAAATTTACAATGCTGCTGCTTTACATCCCACTCCCCTCCTATCAACCTGAAAAATAAACTTCATAAAAGAATCACCTGTCATTGGCCTCAACCAGTAGTAAAGTGTTCTGCAATATTTATAGTGGCAGCGTTTTCTTTTCTCTAAACTCAGTTTCTATCATGTTTTGTATTTAAAATCACTATAGCTGCAGCTATAGGAGCAGCTCTGCTTTCTCTGAATTTAGTAAAAGAACCCATAAAAATCTATTTATCACTTTTTTCCCAATTTTGCCCAATCAAATGGAAATGAATGTCTACATGTATGTTTATATGAATATAAATACATGTATTTGCACACTCAATACACAGTGGATGATGAATGGACCTAAGTAGGAATCAAGAAAATTGTTGTTAATAACAAGGAGAAGTTGTATGATTAAATCATTTTCAATGCATACAGTACACCTTTTTTGGCATGATCACTAAATATAAATAAAGTGTTTAAGTATATAATTAGCAAGAGATAATATTTGTATGTGTTAAATTTGGAATTTGCAATTCATTTAACTTTTTTCCTCCATCTATGTCTTCTGACTGAATAACAAAAAAAAATCCTCTACCCTTTTTTAAATCCTCATTTATTTCCCCTAACCATCTTTTTAATCTACTATTAACTCTTTGCTGTTTTTTAAGTCCTGATGATGGTGTGATTTTATTACATTGCCACATACAATGTTATTTAGGATTGATGTTATATTACTGTGTTTGTTTACCTACATCAATCTGAACAGCTGATTGAGGTAATTAATTATGTGGGGGATACAGCCAAAAATATACTTTCAAATGGGTTTTCAAGATTATGTCCTTGGGTTGAGCAGTGATGCATGAGTACCCGCTTGTCATCAGATAAATGAGTTTTCTCAAAAATTTATTAAGATGCAACAAAGAATTTCTAGCTATTTAATATCAATTAACACAGCAAGCCAGAATTCAAAACAGCCCAAACAAGTCAAGATCGGACGATATGCAATTGTTGTTGCATTATGTCTGCTAACACTGTCCTGAGAAGTTAATTCCCAAACCCTAAAAGCTGCGAAAAGAGTGTTATTATGCCCTGGTAATGGTTCAAGATAAGATGGTGAGCTTCTTTGATGTGGTCTGCAGAGCAGCCAGCAGGTGACATTCTTAAAAAAACAGATGAAGTGACAAATGAAAAGGATTGGAATGTTAAAGATGACTAGATGAGAGGTACAGAAGTGTCCTTGCTGTGATGGCACAGTGTCAGAGGCTCCATTTCAAAGAACCACCTAGCCAGCCAGCCAGCTAGCTGGACCCGGGAGCAACGCTGTGAGAGCAGGATGAGGCATGTGTGTCAGTCAGGAGGGACTGTGCAATGAATACACGAAGAGAACAACTTTGTTTCTCCCTCTCATATACAAGAGGGAGGGCAGAGGGTGGGGGCTTATATTAATCTTAAACTGTCAGGCTCTGGGTCTTGCACTTCAAACGAAATGGTGGAAATCAAAGCATTTCTCTAGATCATGTGTATGATTGTGTGCACGCGCCTGTGCACTGTGATGTAGCCTCTGAGGAAACACGCAGGGGGCCGGTTCCAGATTCGGTCACCAGCAGTATATTTTGCCCACAAGGGCATCTCCAAAACAAGCACACAGAAAAAAAACCTGCACACACACAT